GAGGATGACATTCTTGCTGTCACCTCCCCCAGGCCTGGACCTGCCCCCACTCAGCCCTATGGGCACTTGGTGGTCACCTAGCAGGCCATGCTTGGGGGATCCAGGCCCCCAGCTCGTCAGTGGCAGAGCCTGGAGCGCGTGTCCTCTGACCCCCAGCCCCATGCTCTTCCCACCCGCCATCTTGTCGTGAGCGGGACGTGCGCCCACAAGCTCAAAGATGGACTCAGCACCAGCGTAATTCTTTCCAAAGAGGGACCGGTGAGGCTTCATAGACTGACACCGCCAGAGCGTGTAAATCTTGATAACAGTGAGATAAAAAATAAAATAGAGATGAGCAAATGAGGCCATGGTGCAAATAACCGCAACACTCATCCTGCAGCTTCCTCTGGGCCCAGGCTCAGCAAGGTCCATCCCAGAAGAGGCATTAGAAGTAAGAGTAACAGAACATGGCGCCCGCTCTCTGCCAGTGACTTTTCCGAGTGCTTTACGTAGATTAATTCATATGTATTTCTCTCCACGTTATGGATGAGGCAACTGAGACACAGAAATAATAAGCCACTTGTCCTAAGTTACAGAGCTGGGAAGGGGCAGAGCCAGGACTCGAACCCAGGGCAGCTGGCTCCTGACTGTTCTTGTCCACCCAGAGTGAGCTGAGGGGTCCAAGTGGCTGGAGCCGAGGGCACCAGGCTCCTCCTAGGGCCCTGGTGTCATGACTTTCTGCACGCCCCCCCATCTCTCCCTGGCTCAGGGCACTAGTGACTTCTGCGTGGCTCCCGACACCTTCATCCTGAACACCACTGAAAGCCAGCTCAGCACAGGTAATGGGCTCGCGGGCCTCTGTCATCAGCACTCTGGCCAGCCAGACTGTACCTCTACTTACCTGTTTCAGCCTTGTGGTCACCCAGTCCCTCCCCACCCCCCCAATTCTGGTCGAGCTGGACCCCTTAGAACCTGGGAGCTCAAGGAGTGGCTTGGCCACTTAGGATGGATGAGGGCTTGATCACCTGTAAGCCCCTGCCTGACGCCAGTGTCTTTGCCTTGCAGAGGTGACCCGCTACTACCTGTATTGCAGTCAGAGCGGAAGCAGCCCCTTCCAGCAGGTACGGCCCACTCAGCCCAGCCCTCACCCCGCCCACAATCCCCTTCATCGGCATGCTCCCTCTTGACCCCATGCCCCAGCCCTGACCAGGAAGGGGCAGGTGACCAGTATTCTTTCTTCACTGTGGTCCTCTGAAAGGGGCGGTGCTCTCGGTGAGCATCCTCTGGATCAGGGTTTCTCACAGGCCAGCATGCGTGCCCATCACCCTGGGAGTGGTTACTACGGAAATACCATGCAGCAGGGCAGGCGTGGGGCCCAAGAGTCTGCATTTCTCATAAGCTCCCAGGACCACACTTTGAGTAGTAAGATGCAAGAGGACTGTGCATCCCTCTACAGCCTAAGGGATGAGGGGGAGGTTCCTGCAAGCAGGACAGGCCATAGTCAGGGATGAGGCTGCAGATGCAGCCAGGGGGAGGGGCCGCAGCCAAGGAACAGGCCCGTGGCAGCTGCAGGGGCTCCTGGGAACTCGAACCTGACAGCAGAGCTGTGGTCTCTCCTGGCCCAGGCACTGACCATCTTCCAGCGCTCGCTGACCACGATGCAGATCCAGGTGGCAGGACTGCTACAGTTTGCCGTGCCCCTCTTCCCCACGGCGGAGGTAAGGCGGCCTCCCCCAGCATCCATGCTGGAAGAGGGGGAACCCCAGGCCAGGGCCGTGGTGAGCCAAGATGTGGAGAGCGTCCCTCCCCATAGTCTGGCTCCTTCCTTGGGCTTTAAAGGCCTCCGTGCACCAGCTGCTGTTTGCGGTGTTATCCACGAGCCTTGGTTCCAGCTCTCAGTCTCTGCTTCTCTGCATGTTGGCTCTTCCCTCCTTCCTGCTTCAGAAAGATCTGCTCAGAATCCAGCTCCTGTTGAACTCCTCAGAGTCCAGCCTTCACCAGCTGACAGCCATGTTGGATTGCCGGGGGCTGCACAAGGTGCTGGGGTGGCCCTGGGGGCAAGTGGGGAGCGGGGACCCCCCAGCTGGCCACATGTTCCCAGAGAAGCCAGTAGGGGCTAGGAGAGGATTGCTGGGCCCCCTGCGGACCACAGGAAATGGGGAGGAAGCTGGGCAACGGGAAGGTGGAAGAGGCGCCTGGCTTCTTGACTCCAGTAGCTGAGACAAGCAGACTCGGTGAAAGACCAGGGGGCAAGTGTAGGAAGGTTGGATCGGGTGACCTGACTCCCAGCCATCTGGTCAACCCTCCCATCTCCCAGGGTTACAAGGGGACATCCCAATGTCACTGCCAGGGTCATCTCTCCAGGAATTTGGACTTTCAGACACTAATGCAGGGAATACACTGGGAGTTTGTGAGCCATTCCTGCCCCCCAAGCAATAAGCCAATGCATGTTGACAGCTTCCACAGCCCATGTGGATTTAGAGCAAAGAGTTGTACTAACGATCACTTGGTTTTGTGCTTAACCTTATTCTGTGCACTTTATATCCAATATGTCATTTAGTCCTCACAGTTATACTGCGAAATACATGTTATTTCATGAGAAATTTCCTAGACAAAGAAACTATATATGTGTATATGTGTGTGTGTGTAGATGGAGGGATGGAAGTGTGTGTAGAAGATGATAGATGATAGATAGATAGATAGATAGATAGATAGATAGATAGATAGATAGATAGATAGATAGATAGAGATGAGAGAGAAAGAAAGAGGTCTGTATGTGTGTGTGTGTGTGTGTGTGTGTGTGTGTGTGTGCGCACGTGCGTGTGCGTGTGTGTAGCTTACTGAAGATTCCAGAGCTAGCAAGTCAGGGCGTAGGTTGTGGGCCCTGCAGTCTGTCGCCCTCGGGCCCCCTCTCCCTTGCCCTCCGCATCCAAGCCCTCGGCAAGTCCTAGCAGCTACGCTTCCGAAGACGTCCCGAGTCCGTCCACTTCCCGCTCCCTCCACAGCTTCTGCCGTGCTCTAAGCACCGTCCCGCTGCCCTGGGCGACAGCCCTGGTCCCCCACTCTTCCTTGCCCCTTTTCCATCCATGGCCTTTCATATATAGCAGCCAGAAAGGTCTTTTTGAAAACAAATTGGATCACATCCCTTCCATCCCAGATCCTCCGGGGGCTTCTCGTCAACTTATGATGAACTAAAAACTCCTCGCCTACCCCGCAAGGTTCAGCGTGACCCGGTGGCCTCTCGCCCCATCCCCTGTTGGCCTTTTCTCTCTGTCCTGAACACGCCAAGCTCGTCCCCTGTGCCTCAGAGGCGCAGTCCTCTCCTGACCGTCCTGGCCTCAGAGTAAATCTCCCCACCTCTTCTGGCTGCCCACCCCCAACACCGTGCAGCCTTGTCTGTCTTGTCCAGAGCTGACCCTCCGGTAGGTGTTCAACAAATGCTTGTAGAGTGAATCCAAGAAGCCCCGTTGTGTTGGGCTCGAGTGTGGACCTTTAGTGGCTGTGTAAGGTGCTTGGGGGAGGAAGGGGCGGCTATCTAGGTCTGGGCTGAGGGAGAGGGGCTTCCAGCGACAAGCTCAGACCCCGGGCCGTGCCCCGCTCCCCCACTGCAGGACTACCTGGATGCCCTCGCTGGTGTCTGCTACGACGGCCTCGAGGGCTTGCTCTACCTGGGCCTCTTCTCCCTCCTGGCTGCCCTGGCGTTCTCCACCATGATCTGTGCAGGGCCTCGGGCCTGGAAGCACCTTACCACCAGGTGGGCTGCCTGGAAGGGGCTTCCTGGGGAGCAGGCGGGAGGCTCTGCTCTGACCGAGCCGAGAGCTCATAAGCCGGGGTGGACAAAGGCAGCAGAGGGCCCAGGCATTGAGCCCTAACGGGCCACCTGCATGTCTGCAGAAGGTTCCCTGAGAGTCCAGACAGACCCCCAAAAGGAGGTTCCAGGGGCGTGGCGGGGCAGGAGTGGGGCCGAGCACAGTGACTACGTCATCCCATGACTGGCTGTCCCTTGCTTGTCCTCTCTTCCTCTGCAGGACTTTGTGGCGTGAGGTATTGAGGAGAGCTTTGGGTGCTAGGAGGGGTGCCCCCAGAATGCCAGGAAGGATAGAGTGTGGCACTGTCATCAGGGCTCCTGCAGTCTCACTGAGGAGAGGGACAGAGATGAGATGGTATTTCAGCACCTCGAGAGTAGATCAGACAGGAGGAAGCAGGGTAGGGAGTGTCGTTGTACACGCGGTCAGCATGGTGGGCTGCCTGGAGGAGGCGGACGTGAAGTCGGAAACGGGGCTGAGTGATCTGAGGGAGTTTGGGCTGAGGAACATGTTTTAGAGGAAATTCAAGGACACGTGTGTATGTGGCCGTAGGGGGAGTCTTGGGAGGAAAGGCCGGGAAGCAGCCAGCACCCTGCGGCCTTTGGGCCTCCCTTGTCTCTCATGGTCGGCCATACCCTGTGTGTCTGTCATTCTAGGGACAGAGACTATGATGACATCGATGATGACGACCCCTTCAACCCCCAGGCCCGGCGCATCGCTGCCCACAATCCCCCTCGGGGGCAGCTTCACAGCTTCTGCAGCTACAGCAGCGGCATGGGCAGCCAGACCAGCCTGCAGCCCCCGGCCCAGACCATCTCCAACGCCCCCGTCTCGGAGTACATGTACGGCAGGGGCTCCTGGGGCCTCCCCTCGTGCCGTGTAGCCCTCGGGGAGATGGGTCTGTGGGCAGCACATCCGGGTCCGGAGAGCCAGGTGGGGAGGAAGCATCAGATGCCAACCGTGGTCCCCTCACTGCAGCCACAGGATGCCTGGCGGGAGGGCCCCAGGGAGCACCTAGTCCCCCCTGCACATCCACAAGTGTGAGGGAACCCCCTGGAGAAGCCACAAGCCCGCGGGGCAAGTCGCAAAGCTGAGAAGCTGCATCTCTCCAGGCTGCTCCTGGCCCCTGTCGCTCACCTATTGCTTCTTCCTGGGCCACCCGGAGCCCACACTCCCTCCTCTCTATCCGTGGTCCGCTTCCATCCCCCCATTCCCCTAAGGGACCCTCCTGCAGAAATCTGAGCTCCCCCCACCCCTGCCCCAACACACCTGACCCTCCTGAGCTCTCCTCTCGGCCCTGCAGGAACCAAGCCATGCTCTTCGGCGGGAACCCACGCTACGAGAACATGCCGCTCATCGGGAGAGGCTCCCCGCCCCCCACGGTAACCTGGGCTCCCGCAGCAGGGGTGGGCGGAAGCGTTCGTGGGCCAGGTGTCCGTCGGGGAAAGTGCCCCTGCCTTCGCTCTGTGGGACAGGGTGTTTCGTCTGCCCCATCCGGGTGGTTGGGAAGGGGCCATCCAGTTGGCAAACTGGGAGCACTGAAGACACAGGGTCAGTGACACAGGCCGCGACCCTGAGGACCAGGATGGTCACGTACGCTCCCGGATGTCCGGCGAGTGAGCTGGATGAACACTCGCCCGGGAGAGAAATGCAGGACGCCGTCTCCGTCCTCAGGAAGTGTGTCTGCAGGACTGGAGACTCAGGAAGGTCGCTTGTAGAAAGCGCCACGTGGCGCTTTGGGACCTGGAGGGAGGAATTGTCCCGGCTGCCCTTCAGGACCTGGGGAGGCCCCGTGGTGTAGGTGGCATTTGAGCCTTACCCTAGAGCAGTGGGCCTCGCCCTAGACGATGTTGCCCGCCAGGGAGGCATTTGGAGGCATCTTTGGTTGTCAGGACTGGGGGTAGTTGCTGCTGGCATCTAGTGGGTGGGGGCCAGGGATGCTGCTAAGCCCCCTAGAGTCACAGGACGGCCCCCACCTAAAAACATGACGAGCCTCAAGTGTCCCTAGTGTTGTGGTTGAGAAACCATGCTCTGACCCTTCGTCTCTCCCTGCCGTGACCCCACCTGGCCGTTTTTGCCCAGAGAGCCTCCCGCGTCCAGGGTCCTCAGCCCAGGACAGTGGGTGGGTCGAAGTCTGCGCTCAGAGTGGGCACCTCTTAAATGCCCGCCCGGCTTCTCTCTAACCGGACGCCACTTGGGTTCCTTTTATTTTATTTTATTTTATTTTTTGCCACCAGCTGCTGTGGACCTAGGAATACAGATTGATTTCAATATTAATCTGAGCACCACATAATTAGGGGAAATCTGCTGCTGTGAAAAATGAATTATTCAAAGCACCATGATGCCCAATAAAAATGATTTTTGGATTACCTTCTGTTTTGAAAGATCCAGGCCACTCTCCCTGCCATTAGCAGAGATAATCAAGAACTGACCTTATTTGCAAGGCTCAAGGACAGAATAAACCTTCTTCTGTAGAATTAAGACTTGCCCAGAAACCCTAATGGCTTTGGCAGAGTTGACTGCCCTGCCCCTAGGAAAGACCCTGCTCCACCCCCATCATGCAAGGGGCATGGGGAGACGATGACCGATGCTGCTGACCCAGGAGCCCACAGCATGGAGGTGTGGACACGTGCCCCAATAATGACCACGCAGCTGGCCACTCCCCACCCTCCCCCTGTGCCTGCTCTAAATAGTCATCAGTGCTCAGAGCAGCAGACATGTGGATAAACCCCTCCCTCTGCCTACGCCATCTCTGGGGCAGACAAGGGATTCACTAAGGTGGGCAATGTCCAGCAAGGCCATCGGAGTGCACAGCCCAGCCCGTTCCCTTAGTTACGAATGTGTCCTCCCTCAGCTCTGCCTTCCGGAACTGTTCCTGTCCTTCCAGCACCATGTCCTAGACTTGACGGACAAAAAGACGACGTGGGCAATTGTTAAAAATGCCAATCCCAGCACTTGATCCCAGAGGCGCTGAAACCGTGTCCAGGGCAGCTGCCTAGGTGATCCCGTTGTCACATTAGTTTAGGAAATGCTGCTTCTGGCAGGAGGGTCTCACCCTTGAGCACGCAGCAGAATCACCTGGGGTACTTGTTGCCACACAGGCTGCTGGGCCCAGGGATTTGCATTTCTAGCATGTTCCCAGGTAAAGCCGAAACTGCCGGTCTGGGTCAGCCTTCCTCACCCTCAGCTCGACTGCCGTCCTGACAGCCATGCTTTGCTGTGGGCTGTGCCCTGGAGGATGCTGAGCTGCATCTCTGGCCTCCACCCGGTCGATGCCAGTAGCAGCCCCCGCTTCCTCCCCCCAAGTGGTGACAACTAAAAATGCCTGCCAGACATTGCCAAGAGTCCCTGGGAGGACAAAATCAGCCCTGATCGAGACCCACTAGGTTCAAGAGTCTCTTCCCATACACACACGCCAGCTGGAAGCGTTTGTTCCCTGTCCGGTGTGAATGGCCAGGACCTGGACCCCCAAAATTACCCTGGGGCCAGGAGGCAGTCGGGGTCCTGCTGACCCTTGCTACTTGGGGTCAGCAGACCAGCAGCGTCTGGCGCCTGTTGGAATGCAGACTCTCGGGTCCCGTGATGTGAGACGTGATCATGTAAGAAGCCGCGTCTCTCTCCTTCCGAGCCGTGGCCGATGCCCACTGAGTGCTCCCTTCGTGCTAGGTCTCCGCTTCGCCAACTTGTCTGCACTTGGAAGAGCTCGTAAAGCACAGCCTGGTTGGAGAACCACTCTGTGAGGGGTCTTATCATTTCATCCTCTCAGTGCAAGAGCTGAGTGCTCTAAGCTCTATTTCGCAGGTGGGGAAACAGGCCAAGGTGATGGACGCACAGCTGGGACTAGCTGGGACGTGAACCTGGCTCTCTTGAGTCAGTGGACCTGGGCCCTCGGCCTGCTCGCCGTTCGGGCTCCTGAGTGTACTGGTGCACCCTGACGCCGTCCCTGGTGTCGATGTGTGCAGCGGAGTAGATGTGGCAGCCACAGTGGAGGGCGTGGCTGGTCAGTGCGTGCAGCTCGCATTCGAGCCTGGGAGCCAGATGTCTCGAAGGCCCACGGCAGGGAAGCATCACCAGACGGGAAGCCTGTGCGAGCCGGCCTAGTACCCTCCAGTCCCCATGATGCCCTGTCATTAAAACATGGTGCCTGACCGCTGTGGCTGGCCCGGATCTCCCTCCCTCAGAAGCTCCTGGCACTTTTGCTAGTGCAGTGTCCGGTGACATGCCATGACCCCGTTCTGACCGTCCCCTCCCCTCTCTTCCACAGTATTCTCCCAGCATGAGGGCCACCTACATGTCCGTGGCAGACGCACACCTGAGGCACTACGGGAGTGAGTTGCCAGCCTAGCACACTTCCAGAGTTCCCGCCTCCTTGATCCATTTTGGTTTTTACTCAATTCGAATGAGAGCTGCGTTTCTGTGATAGAAACCAAAGGCATCTGGAGATGCATGCAGGACTGCGGGATTGGAAGCCTCCTGCTGCCGCAGAGAATCAGCCCGGGGCCGGCTGAGATTCCTGACCAAAGCCCCAGGCAGATGGGGGACCCACGACTCAGACCAGCCTCTCCTTCTTCGGGCCTCTCCACACCAGAAATGTCCCCCTGGGGCTTGGCAGCCCCTAAGCTGGGAGCCTGGTTCAGCTCACCCCTGCATCCCACCCTGGCCAGGTGGGGAGTGGCAGTGAGGAGGGGCTGGGTCAGGCTCCAGGGTCCCATGGCCAGGACTGTGCCTCCTGTGAGCACAGCCAGAAGCCCAGATGACCACTCTCTCCGAGTCACCTGTCTCCTCCTGGCTGCACAGATGGGTAGCAGTTCCCTGCAGGCAAAGGTGGAAGGGCTGATCAGCAGATGCTTTTAAGGGAGGCATCATTGTTGTTGATAAGATCGGACACTATCCAAATCAGTCTCCTGGGGCCAGATGACCTCTTCCTGGGCCACAGAGGGAAGGTGTTGGAGACTGCATAGGAGGCTGGTGGCTCCAGGGCCAGGGAACTGCAGCCTCGTGCCTGGTGAACTCCGCAGTGAGAGACCCGTATGCATGAAAGCCTGACACGTTCTTCCCGGCTCTCGGTGACCCTCTGGCCTCACTTCCATTCCAGAATCGATGCTGTTTGTTCACTACACGTAGGGATGGTCTCAGGTATTGATAGATACTTTGAAAGCGACTTTAACTCTTGTTTTCCAGTGTTTTAAGTATTTTGATGATCCAAAGAATTGGAACTCGTAGTGCATCCAGTTTTTACAGTAGCTTTGGGGCTCGTTGCTTACACCTGACTTGTATCCCATTCCTCATCAGATTTTGCTGTCACCAGCCAGTTCTTTATGGATCTGGAGGTGGAAGAGAGGGGATTTTCCCAAGCAGCTGTTTGATGGGAATATGGGTTCATTCCGCTCAGAGGGGAGTCCTTTAAGAGAGGAGGTAAGGGAAATGGCAGAGTGTCCAGGTCACCTTTCCCCTCCCTTCTGTTCTCAAGCAAGTTTGTCAGTAAAGGTTCTAGCAAAGTGGGACAACTAGGTCTTGATGTGAAAACAGAGATCTGTCCTACCTGTCCCTACCCCGTTGTCCCAGGCCCCTGCCCTGTACCTGTCAGGTGAGAAGGAGCTTGTTAACCAGGAGAAAATGACCACCCATCGTTCTGCCCACGGAGGATGCAGGGTTGGGCCCTTTGGTGCTTCCAACATCCTACCAACTTGCAGTGCACGGCACAGAGTCCCCACAGCCTCCACACCAAGGCAGGGACACAGGGCGGTGTGGCTTGGGACAAGGGCTCCATTTCCATTTTGGAAGAGCCACTTTCTCTTCAAAACCTTGACAGCAGAGTGGTTCTCAGCTTCCAGCCGAGCCCCCATGACAGAACGGGGCCACAGGGCAACCAGGATGCTCTCACCCGCATTAACCTGTACATACCGTTACCATAAACACCTTTGTGTGGCCACGCCATGCGCAGATAAGGAACTCTGCGATGTCAAGGTGTTGCTTCTTAACGTTTCATTTTCGGCGACTAGAGAGTTGTTTTTAATGCATGGAAACTAAACTAGAACCCTTGGGTGGTTCCTGAAGGAGCCAGGTGGGCACACCTCTGCTTGGCACATGTGCGCCCTCACCTGGGGGACAAATAAACCACTTACACTAAAATGCGACTCAGTCTCTAACTTCCTCAGCTACAGGAATAAGGAGGGGACTGACCGGTCCCTTCCAGCTCCGTTATATATGGTGGGAGGGCTTCAAGGCAGATCCCAGTAGCAATTTCAGCATGAGTTTTGAAAGATGGGGCTACTGAATGAATGTCACAGGACCTCTCATGTGGCCACTAGCTACTCTTGGACTCAGACTTCATTTCTGCCCTAGTCCATCTCCTAAGTTCCCCCTAAAGGGACTGTGGTCGCACAGCTTTGCCATGATCCTTGCTGCGCTCTCTCCCTAAGTCCTGCACCGCCATGGAGCACCTGTCCAGGCGGGGGCCCCCTGAGAAGCAGTGCACCCTTCACACTTTCTTTGCAGTCTCATTTATCTGGTGAACAACCAAGCCAGCCTGGGATGGCTCTGCGGAGCAGATTCCAGCTCTCCGCCCATGGTCCTAAGCTGCTGTTTATTCTTCTGTGTAGCAGCTGTGCTCCTGGAATTGCCTATTTCAAGGAGCTTCCCGCAGGGAGTAGCTTACGTGTCCTTTGGGAGCGTTTGAGGTGAGTGCCGAGGGCAGGCTCAGAGCTGCACATCCTTCAGCCAGAGACCAGAACTGGGGCATCTTTTGAATGGAAACATTTTCCCACCCATGTGGTGGGATAGCCCTTTACCCTCGTCTCGATACAGCAGTGGGAATGAGGCAGGGAGCATGGTAGAAACTCTCCTAAACACTCTGATTTTTTAAAGGTAACTGCAGCTCGAGACCCAAATGAAATTCTTCTGGGGCCTCCCACTGTCCCCCGGGGTCTGGACTGAGACCTGAGCTGTAGGCAGGCCCTGAACGAAGTAGGAAGGAGGCCAGGCGGGCATGCGCAAGCTTGAGGGAGGTTTGGATCACCGCGTCTGTCACCTTCCTTTGCTACCTTGGCCTGCACTAATCTCTCACCCAAGAGAAAGGGGTGAGGTGGGAAGGCCTCCCTGCCAAGCCTGCCTCTCTTCCACTGCCAGCCTGCCGGCCTCACCATCCCCAAACATCTCTGAGCACCCCTGAGTCCAGCCCCAGGAACCTGCACCCAAAGAGAAAGAGTAATTAATTCCATCAGGCCCCTCAGTCCATGGAGCCTTTGTCAGGAACAGGCATGAATTTGAGTCTACTATTCAGGGACCACATGGGGCAGCTGCCAGAGTGGTCCCTTCTCCAAAGCTAACTCATCTCCAGTCGTCCCGAGCCATGCCCTGCTATATTTTTTCCCTCCTCCAAAGCCGTGAGGTCTTGTATTTCAGAGCGGCTGGGGCGATGTCCCTCCCTCATGGCTCATAAACGCTCAAGGGGCCGTGCGTGCCCACTGACGGATACACCCAGATCAGGAGATTTTTGCCTTCCTTTCTTCTCGCTTTCATTCATTTAACTAAAAATATATTGATCGCCTAGCACAAGGGCCAGCAATTTATGACCTGTGAACATACTACCCAAAGAGATCTACAGATTCAATGCAATTCCTAGGAGCCCAGCCTGACCTGCTGCCTTGTATGGCCTATGAATAGAGTTTTTATATTTGTGAATGGTTTATAAAGATCAAATATTTACAACTGATTTCGATGGTGGAGAACATTAACTTTGAACCTCAATTAAGCATAATGTTATGCCCTCCCCAAGGAATTCCATTTTTCTCATGAATGTTGTTATATTTGATGTTGCCCTAGAGGTAAAAAAAACTATGCTCATTATTTTGAATTTTGGTAATCAAAAATGTGTGGGAATTGGTTTTCTCTCTTATCATGTAAGTATCTAGAAAATGTCTTTGATTTTGCCTCCTAACCTGCAGATAGTAAACACTCTAGTATTTATTATCTTTTACAGTAGTTTGCAGTTTGCTGGCGTCGGCCTGCCACGTCACCTTCTCCAAATCCTGGGACCACAGAAGCATCTAAGGCAGTTGTGGACCTTAACTTCATGGCGTTTACAAACAGGGAGGGAAGACGTCCTCATTCATAACATCTTTCTGTGTGTTCTCACATGGTGGAAGGGGCCAGGGAGCTCTCTGGGGTCTCTTTTATGAGGGCGCTAATCTCATTCGTGACAGCTCACCCTCATGACCTCATCACCTCCTAAGGCCCCCACCTCCCAATATATCACATTGGAGGTTAGTTTTCAATATATGGATTTTGGCAGGGCATAAACATTCCTACCATAGGAAGGGTATATGGGAATTATTTGCACTATCTTTACACCTTTTCTGTAAATTGAAACTTCTGAAATAAAAAGTTTATTTTAAAATGGGGTACATGGCAGCCAGGATACCCGCTTTCAACACTTCTATTCAATATAGTGCTGGAAGTCCCAGCCAGAGCAGTTAGGCAAGAAAAATAAATAAAAGCTATCAAAATTGGTAAAGAAGTAAAAATACCTCTGTTCACAGATGATATCATTTTATATGAGGAAAACTCTAAAATTCCACCAAAAATTGTTTAAAATAATAAATGAATTCCACAGGGTAGCTGGATACAAAATGAACACACAAACTAACAATGACTCTGAAAAGGAATTTTTAAAAAAATATCTATTTATAATAGTATGAAAAATTAAAATACTTAGGAATTAACCAAGAAAATGAAAGAATTATATAATCAAAACTACAAACATTGCTGAAAAAAATCAAAGACATAAATGGAAAGACATCTTGTGCTCATGGTTTGGAAGATTCAATATTGTTAAAACAAAAATACTACCCAGAGTGATCTACAGATTCAACGCAATCTCTATGAAAATACCAGAGACATTGTTTTCAGAACCAGAAAAACCTATCCTAAAATTCACACAATCTCAAGAGACTCTAAATAGCCAAGATAGCCTTAAAAAGGAGTGAACTTAGTACCACCATGCCACCCTGAGCGTGCCTGATCTTGTCTGATCTTGGAAGCTAAGCAAGGTCGGGCCTGGTTAGTATTTGGATGGGAGACCACCTACGAAGACCAGGTGCTGTAGGTGTTTAAAAAAAAAAGTGAACTTGCAGGACTCACACCTAATGATTTCAAAATTTATTACAGAGCTACAGTAATCAAAACACGGTGATGCTGGCTTAAAGTCAGACACATAGAACAGTGAAAAAAATAGAGCCCAGAAATAAACATCCACACATATGGTCAAATGATTTTCAACAGGAGACCAAAACTATTCGATGGGGAAAGGACAATCTTGTCAACAAATGATGCTAAGAAAACTGGATATCTACATGCAAAAGAATTAAATTGGATACTTACCTAATAGCAGACACAAAAATCAACTCGAAATTGATCAAAGACCTAAATATAAAACCTTAAACTATAAAACCCTTAGAAGAAAACAGAGCAAAAGCTTCACAACACTGGATTTGGCAGTGACTTCCTGGGCATGATCCCAAAGGCACGGGCAATAAAAGAAAAAATAAATTGGATTTCATTACAATTTAAAAATTTGTGCATTAAAAGACACTATCAACAGAGTGAAAAGACAATCTATCACATAGAAGAAACTATTTATAAATCACATATGTAGTAAGGAATTAATATTCAGAATACATAGAAAATTCAACAATAAAAAAAAAACCTGATTCAAAAATGGGCAAAGGATTTGAATAACTCTGTCTTCAAAGAAGATATACAAATGGCCAAGAAGCATATGAAAATATGCTCACTATCACTAATCGTTGGGGAAATGCAAATCAAAACTATAATGAGATACCACCTCACATGCATTGGGGTGGCTACTATCAAAAAAACAAAAAGAAAGAAAATAAATGTTGGCAAGGATTTGGGGAAAGTGGAACCTTTGTGCACTGTTGGTGGGAATGTGAAATGGTACAGCCACTGTGGAAAATAGTATGGTGGGTCTTCAAAATATTAATAAGTTATATTAAGCAACTAGAATTACCATTGAGCCAGCAATTTCACTTCCCAAAAGAATTGAAAGCAGGGTCCTGGAAAGAGATTTGTGCACCCACGTTCATAGCAGCATCATTCACGAGAGTAAAAGGTGGAAGCAGCCTAAGCGTCCATCCATAGATTGAAAGGATAAACAAAATGTGGTATATACATATAATGGAATATTATTCAGTCTTAAAAAGGAAGAAAATTCTGAATATATGACAGCATGTATGGACCTCGAAGACATTATACGAAATGATACAAGCCAATCACAAAAGACAAATACCATGCGATCCCACTTGTACGATGTAAAGTACTCGAATTTAGAGACAGAAAGTGAAAAGAAAATTTTTTTAAAATTCTATTTATAGAATATATATTCCCACTGCCCCCACTTCCCCACCCAGGGAATTGTGGGTGCAGAAGGCTCAACTCCCCAGAGCTGGGGGTGCGGTGAGGAGGGCGTGTGCGAGGGCAGTCCCAGCGCTCCACTGTGGAGCTGACCTGTTTTTCACTTCTGGACACTTTGTCTGGGTCTGATTCGCCTCTGACCACACAAAGCCAGTTCAGTGGGGCTTTCAGACTCCTTCCCCCATCTCCCAGCACCGCCGTCGGCACCCACCCCCCAGGGAGTCTTTTGCTCAGAGACGCTGGTAGGAATGGGAGCCAAGGGCGGCGGTGGGGGCAGTGGTCACTTAGGAGCTCGTCCTAGGTTAGTGTGGTTGGGCAAAGTGCTATCTCATTGGGGATTTGATTGCTCCTGCCCAGTTCAAGGCAGGTGGGTAGTGGCGGAGACATGTTTGTAGAGAAATTGGGGGTGGGGGGACTGGAGGGAAGAATAGTTGCTTTCTGTACTTTCACAGCTCGAAAACCCCCTGGGAAGCTGTCCAGGTGTCTTAGCCTATCTCCTGGGAATCCCCACAAACTGGCCCCAGCTGACCTTTACAAATTCCTCTCTCATTTTCCCCCTGCAGAGACTGTCAACTCCAACCAGACAGATGCACCTACCAGGCCCCCAAACGCCTTTCTTCCATAACCACCATCATTCCCTTACCCCCAGTATGGAATAGTCTCCCATTCCTTCCCCCCGAAACTCAGAACTATTTGCCAAGGC